TGCAGGAGTATAACTACATATTATTATGCACCGCAGGTGGTTTGAAGGTTGAAAGGTTACAATGACCTAGGTAGCAGAACCGAATCAAACCATGGTTGTAAATGTGTCATGACGTGGTGGAATCAGGCGCTGGTCAATTTTTGGGAGCGTGGAGTTATTGGTATCATCTGAAAGATAATATGAAAAAAAAACACTCCACCAATCTATTTTAAATATAATTTGAAATAATTCCAATTGAAGGAGGTGGGGATAGCCTGGTTTCAGATGTAACATTAGCGAGAAAATGGCCGCCAACGTTTGGCGACTTCCATTGCTTGAGATCGAGTCAATACAAACCGCAAATTTATATTCGTGTGCCTTAAATCAACATTTTTAGTAAAATCCACACAGAAATGTGTTTTTAAATGGACCTTACAGGTGTTGAGTCAAATCCCAAAAATTCGATCAAAATTGCCAAACTGCAAAATACTATTTTATTCGGTTTCATTATTTTTTTTACGAGCGCCTGATTTCACCGCAAAGCCACACAAATGCTTTACTTCCTCATCGACACAATCTACAGATTTTGGAAACCGGCTGCTTCCACCTGGGTTATAGTTTTTATTTGTATTTGTATTCTTTTGGTCAGAGTAAATATCAGATTGATTGAGATACAGTATCCAAGCAAAAAGAGGAAAATTTTGCAAATAGAAACAAATAAATGGACTTTACCAAGGGGGAATCGAACTCATACACTTAACTTTTTGCGAGCAGCGACAAAGAGCCCAAGCCCTTCGCCGTGATAGATGCCAGCATCGAATCCTTCAGGACTGTTGTTTTAATTTAAAAATGGATTTAGTGGAACATGAAGCTCGCAAAATAACTCCACAAGAATAGGGAATAAAACTTGCTGTTTTAAGACTGTGTGATAAATAATTTTGTAGCAAACACCAACATTGTGTTCACACGTACTGTACACCCCAAAAAAGATTCTGGGATGAAAATAGTAACGTTTTTGCTTATTCGAGCTCTGTGTTAAACATAAAATCACACGTTTCAAAGAATGGAAAATGTATTCTTATGACAGAAATATAAAAAGGATTAAATAAGATTTTATTCCGAACAGTTGCTGAGATTTTTCTTTATGGGTTTGGGTTGGAGCCGGG